TATGCTCTGCGATCGACCCGCCCTACGCATCGTTCACTGGCCAGGCGTGCTGTCACTCTGGCCACCTGACCCCAGTTCCTGGCTTGTATTGGCTAATACTTCATTACTCCTCCACGTTCATTGGCTCTTAGGCGGCTAATTCGGCCGACCTACAACCGTTCCTGCCTCCGCCGCCGCCATAGAGACCGGAACTAGAATTAGAGTCACCACGAGAACCATAGAGTACCCGAGAGGACGGGCAGAGAGAACTTGACTTTCACGAGGCTGTAGCATGGGCGGCCGGGCGGGCTACACGTCCGCGGTTGTGTCCTGGTCTCCAGAAAGGCACGGTCAAACGCCTGCGCCGGGATTTCCTGGTCATCGAAGGGCCTGGAAAGGTGCTCGTGGATACCTTAGCCCCAGGTAGAGAGGCCTCCCACCCTCCCTGCTCGGAATACGGTCCTGTGACCTCAGACCATTACTGCGAACAGAGCCGTCTTCTACAATGGCCGTGTACTCGCGGCACAGCCGAGGGGTTCGGAAACAGACGTAAATACATGCATTCAAGCAGTGTCCGTTTTTGGCGGAGCAATCACCTTGGAGGGACCACGCAGGCTCTCATGCGGTCCCTGATCGGCATATTTAGGGCGGAGGGCGGGGGTATATTCCAGGAGTACCTGCTTTCCCATCCATCTTACCAAAAGGTACATAAGGACTGTCTTGTTAAGTATTCACGTGTTTTTGTGTTGGTCACAAAAATCAAATTTAATTGCAAGTCACGTTTATTGAGCAAACTAGGAATTTTTCTTGCATTTTATCCTTACACCAGCCACGTGAAATAGGGGTTACTATCCACGTTTCACAATTGATTTATAATTGAGGTTGCCACATGCTGTAGCTGAAATCCTCCACCTTCATTCCTTATTAAGTGTCTATGATCTTCTGGGGATGGACTAGTTCGCCAGTTCTGCCTCTTAAATTCAGTCTAGGGATGAAGGTAGAAATTTAAACACCCAACACTCCAGTGCTGCAAATGCACAAAACATTGTGGGAGTGAAGTGGAGAAGGTGGAATGCTGATTCCAAGCGCATGGAGATTTCTGTAAGGCCTACAGGCAAGAAAAGATGGGTCTGAGAAAATGCAAGTAAAGTTATCCAATAAAACTAGAATGAAGACATTGGGCTATAGAGGTAGGCAGGGTCAAATTAGGGATATTTTATTGGAAATTTATCCCATGAGCAATAGTGACAAGGGTAATTTAGAGTTGTAAGTAGGGAGTGACATAATTTTTTTTTTAATGCCTGCTGAGTGGAGAATGGGTTGTAGAAGGGCAGAAATGGAAGTAGGGAAAACAGGCCGGTGCAGTAGTCCTTGCCCATAAGTATCATCTAGGCCTGTCAATTCCACTTTCTAAAAGCCTCCCTGAATCAGTCCTAAGCATCTTTGATCTCTTCATTTCTACTGCTGCTACTCTATTGTAGGCCATCGTCATCTATTGCTTAGAACAGAAGTAGGCAAACTTTCTGTAAGGGCCGGATAATAAATATTTTAAGCTTTGCAGGCCAGACAATCAACTACTCAGCTGCTACTCAACTTTAGAGCCTGAAAGTAGCCTTAGCCAATCAGTAAACAGAAATCCTATATAATAAAAGAGAAAAATGGTAATTGGCGTACGGCGATACCCTTTTCATTGGCTAATCAGGGCTATATGCAAATTAACTGCCAACTCAGATGGCAGTTAACTGACAACAAAATGGCGGTTAATTTGCATATGTAGGCACAATGCAGGGAGGCGAAAGGGAAAGCAGGAAGAAGCCCCCTACCACTGACAGTGATCAGAAACCCAGGGGGGCGCTAAGAGCCCCCAGGGCCGCCTTTGCCCTGCCCCCCAGCCATGATCGGAGAATCAGGTGCCTTTTCCGCCCTGGCCAGTGATAGCAGGAAGTAGGGGTGGAGCCAGCGATGGGAGCTGGGCAGGGTCAAAGCTGGCAGTCCCGGGAGCTAGGGGTCCCTTGCCTGGGCCTAAAGCGGAGCCCACGATCGTGGGGCCGCTGCCGCTGTGGGTCCCTGCTGCCCAGGCAGGACGCCTCGGACAGAGGCGTTAGGCCTGGGCAGGGCCGGAGCAGGAGATCGCGAGGAGCTGGGGGTCCCCTGCCCAGGCCTAATGACTTGGCCAGAGGCCTTAGGCCTAGGCAGGGGCAGAGCCTGTAACTGCAGGGAGCTGGGGGTGCCCTGCTGAGGCCTGACACCTCTGCCGGAGGCCTCAGTCCTGGGCAAGGTACTGATCCGGTGATCAGCGATCGGATGGTGATGAGGGTCAACTCCTCTGGCCGAGGCATCAGGCCTGGGCCGGGGGTGGAGCCAGGGATTGGGGGGATATGATGGTCCCCTTGCCCAGGCCTGAAGCCTGGGTCAGAGGCATCAGGCTTGGGCAGGGGGGTGGAGCAAGCGATCAGAGGGAGATGGGGGTCCCCTGCCCAGGCATGATTCCTAGGCCAGAGGCATCAGGCCTGGGCAGGGGTTAGAGCCGGTGATGGGGGCAGAGGGGGGTCCCCTGCCCAGGCCTGAATCCTGGGCCAGAGGCGTCAGGCCTGGGCAAGGGGCCGATCCTGCGATTGGATATTGATGGGGGTCAATGCCTGAGGGCTCCCAGTATGTGTGAGGGGGCAGGCTGGGCTGAGGGACACTCCCCCTCACCCCCACCCAGTGCACGAATTTCGTGCACCGGGCCCCTAGTCGATGATAAAAAAAAACTTTATGGACATTATAATTTGAATTTCATATAATTTTTACAATGCAAAATATTCTTTAGATTTTATCAACTACTTAAACATTTAAAAACCAGTCTTATCTCCATTGAGAAATAGGGAGTGACCCTCTCCCTTCCTCTCTGAAATCAATAAAATATATTCAAAAAAGGAAAAATAGTCAGATGGCCTGCCCACTGGCATAGACCACTGCTGTGGCCTTCTCTCTTTCTTACTCTAATATTCCCCACCACAACACCCAGACTGTGTTTTAGAAAATATCTATTTGATTATGACATTGTCTTATTTGAAATCTATCAGAATTCCGTAATATGATTTATAGGACCGCCTAGGACTTCTCTAAATTTGCCTCCCACTCTTTCACATTCCTTGTCCAACCTTCCAAGGGATCATTTAGCCATTGCTTCCTTTAGATTATCACTTATTTCCCTCTACTTGTAACACTGCCTTTCTCCCTTCTTTTCCTTTGCCTGCTTAACTGTTCATCCTTTAAGACTTGACTCAGATGTCACTAGTTTAAGAGACCCTCCTATCCTAACACTATATTAATTTTCCCAGCCAGACTATGAATTCCTTCAGCATCTAGCATAATACCTGAGACACAGTATCTTAATAAATTTGTTAAATCAATGAGATAGTGTAGAAAATGGATTGGAGAATGAGGTACTGGCAGCAGAGAGGTCATCTGGGCAGCTGTGCCAATATTCCAGATGAAAAAGGCTTGCAGCAACAATGTGTATGAAGAGAAGTAGGTGGATTCTAGAGTTGCTATCTCTCTATTTCAGCTCTAGATGACCTTTGACTGCTAAAAAAAAAAAAAATGTTTCCTCCAAAGGCAATCTGCCAACACAGAACATTTAAAGGTGTGCCCTAGAGGCTTGAGAGTTTTCCCAAAGTGGAGTAACAAAGACAGAACAATGGCAGCAGCACCTCTGAGAATAAGTGAACAACCTTTCCTATGTAACAGGTTTGAAGAGATGGCTTCTCTAGCAGAAATCCAAATTCTGTAACATTTGCCTTTAAAATGTTACTTAACAGTATCATTACATACTCATCCAATCACTTCACTAAGCTCTCTCATGATCAGTGGACATAAAAATGTGCTATTTCCTACTGGTTTTCTTGCAGCCACCTCTTCACCACTGCGTAAGTGGCTCTGAAGCACTGGATGACATACCATTGATGCCAAAATGCATCTCCTATTCCTAGGTGGGAGTTCTCCACTCTAGAGTTCTGCTAGACCCCCTCCCACCCTGAGAGTTCACACTGCCCAACATAGTGATCACAGTTCAGACAACTCCAATGCCTACCTTTAAGTCATGTAAAAGGCAAGAAAAGGGGTTCATTCCAAGAATCTTCTTTGCAAAATAACTTTCACCTTGTCCCCAATCTCTTACAGACTCTGGCCCAAGGATACAGTTCCCTCTTCCTGGAAAGCCCTCTCCACCCTCATCTCTTAGCTAATTCCAATCTGTCAATACTTACCTCAAATGTTATCTCTTTCTCTCACCCTGTCTCTCCACTCCGCTCTCATAGCATCTGGTACAGACCATTATCATTCATGCAACAAAAGTTTATTGAGCACTTACTAGGTACTAGGGCTGGGGACACAGCAGTAAACAAAACGAAATAAGTATTGACCAAATTTCCTGCCCTCATAAGGGGTCACATTCTAACATCACATTGTATCAAAACTGTGCCTATCTCCTGTCACAAGCATGGGACACATCTTACACATCATTGCAGCTCCAGTGCCCAGGGCAGAGATTGGCATAGAATGCAGGTGCCAAGTATAACTGACAGTTACCTGAATGACCCATCACAAGAACATCAGCTCAGGATCCCAGCTGATCCTTCTCCTTCCTTTCTCTTTATAATCCACCTTGTATAGTCACGTGATCAGTTCTTTCTTCATTATGTCCCCTGAACCCTATTTATTTAGCTGTAGAGTTGTGGATATCTATACTCTAGCTTCCTTGTCCTGCCAATACACTGAAATGGCACTTTTCACCACCTATCTGAGTCAGGAGAAAGGAGAAACAGGAGAACATAGACATTGCCTCATGAAAGGAACATCAGGGAACTCTTTATCTCTTGAACATTATACTGTGGGAACTTTTTATATTGGGTGGTTTCCTTTTAAAACTAACATTTGCAAGGCATGTTGTGTTTACAAGTTACCTTCATATCCACTCTCTTACTTGACCCTTTCAACAATGCTATGAAGTGGATAGGTATTATTATCCCCATTTTATAGCGATAATAATACTTCTCAAGAACTGAACTGTTTTTTAAAAACAATCCAAGGTTCAAACCAAGATTTTTGACTAAATTATTCCCAGTTTGTCATGATCAAGATACATTCTACCCAATGGTCTCCCATCCAGAAATATCCCAAGTTAGTGATTCTCTTCCCACAGGCTTCAGAACTACCAAACTAAACCTACTGCTGGGAACACCTTGGAACACATTGGCCCTGGGGCTTTGCTTCTTTGCTCAATCAGCTCGAACCTAAGGGGGAATGCTATAAATGCTTATAAATTTGGGGCTCTGGTCCACACTGGCCTTGCAGTTGGAGAGCCAGGTCCACAATAGCCTAAAGCTACGTTGTGAGGAAATGGGGCTATCATTACAACAACACACATACTAAAACAAAAAAACTTTATTTACAGTCGAAAAACATGGAAAATCCTGGGTTCTGAATTGTGATACTTCCAAGATTTCTTGATCAAACAGGGCAACAGCAGGCCAGGAAGCAAACACAGGGGCCAATCCAGATTTTCCTACTCATGAGCATCACCCAGAGCAAGAGCAGGCCTACAGTGGCAGATACATGGAGGTCTGTAAGGGATGGAAGAGATTAGCAGCTCAGAGGATTGGAATGGGACTTTCCATGAGACAACATTCCCACCTATTCTCTACATTCCTGATCCTCTTCGCAAAAGAGTAAAACCGGTCTGATTCATGCCATAGGCCAGACCTTTGGTTCTCCAGAGCAAAGTTGAAAGTAAAAAAAAAAAAAAAAAAGTATATTACACAAGAACCAAGAAGAAACTAACATATACTTCCAAGTACATTATCTCATTATTTACCCTTTACAACTCTGTGCAATATACATTATAAATTAAGCAAAGGAGAAAACTAGCAGTTCAATGGCTTGACAGTGATGAGGCTTCCTGATGTACTGGCACCAAAGCACATGTCTTTTGGCAGACCTGGCGCACTCTGTGGAGCTGTAGAACAAAGAGCAATCCTCCTTACCTGTGGGTTTTGGTCCCAGGGTTATACAGAAAGGAAATCGCACACCCTCTGTTTATGGCCTTTTAGTTGTACTAAAGAACAGGGTGAGTTCACTCTGACACTACCCTCTCCTCCCCTCCCCTAGAATGTGACTGCCCCCCTCTCCCCACTTCCAGAAGACAGGGAGTCCTGGTGTCATATTGCAGGCTTAAAGAGAAGTTTAACTTTGGGCCCTAATGCAGAATGTACAAAAATTTATAAATGCACTTATAAGTTGCATTGTGTTCCAGGATCCAAGCTGTATTATAGACCAGTCAGCATGGTCTCTGCCTCAAGAGAAAACCAAACACATTTGTGTTAGATGCTGTAATAGAGAGATGAACCAAGTACTAGGAGCTCACAGGAGGGGATCACTGACTGCCTAGACCAGGGAAATGGAGATGGAGGGAACAGGGAATGATTCAAACTGATGTTAGTCACATGCACCTACCTGGGAGGGGCCGGGAGGAACTAGGATTATTAAACCACATATATACAGTGTATATTTATTATAAGACTAGTGACCTGGTGCATGAAATTTGTGCACATTAAAAGGGGATTAATTAGAGGAAATATTTTAATACTGCTATTTGTCCTTTCTCCATAATAGAAGTGTCAGAGATGAAAGAAAATTAGTAAAATGTATATGAAAATCTTCCTCCTGTCAGAGTCTGGGGCGCGCCACGGGAACCAGAGTCAAGTCCATGCCCACCCACGTGCACCTCGACATTGTGCAAGACCCAGACCCGGCCGGCCCCACCCCCGTCAAGCCCCGCCGTGTGGGGGGCACAGCCTCAGGTCGCCTGGCCTGGTGCTGGGCCGGGGGGTGCGCCTTGAAGTCCCCTGTCAAGCCCCGCTGGTGTGTTGGGGGGCACGGCCTAAGGTCCCCGATCAAGCCCTGCTGGGCTGGGGGCATGGCCTGAGGTCCCCTGTCAAGCCCCGCCGGGCGTGGGGCACAGCCGGAGGCCCCCCGTTAAGCTCCGCCAAGCAGGGGACGTGGCCTGAGGTCCCCTGTCAAGCCCTGCCCTGCTGATTGCTTGTTAAGGCTCGTTTCAGAAACTTGGCCTTTGCTGTGGGCGCAGCCAGCTTGACTGTTACGACATGATGGTAATTTGCATATTACCGCTTTATTAGATAAGGTATGTGCTCAATATAGGAAATTCAAGCATATACAGGACAATATAAATTGAAAAATTCTCGCCCTGACCAGTTTGGCTCAGTGGCTAGAGCGTCGGCCTATGGACTGAAGAGTCCCAGGTTCGATTGCAGTCAAGGGCATGTGCCTTGGTTGTGGGCACATCCTCAGTAGGGGGTGTGCAGGAGGCAGCTGATCGATGATTCTCTCTCAGGGATGTTTCCAACTCTCTATCCCTCTCCCTTCCTTTCTGTAAAAAATCAATAAAATATATATATTTTTAAAAAATTGAAAAATTCTCTTTGCTATCTCTACAGAGGTAACCATTATTAATAGTTGGCTACATATTACTATAGAAATTTCTGAAATAGTTATTCAAAATAAATAGTGGTATGGTTTATATAATATACTATTTTTAAAAAAATATATTTTATTGATTTTTTTACAGAGAGGAAGGGAGAGGGATAGAGAGTTAGAAACATTGATGAGAGAGAAACATTGACCAATTGCCTCTTGCACACCCCCTACTGGGTATGTGCCCGCAACCAAGGTACATGCCCTTGACCAGAATCGAACCTGGGACCCTACAGTCCGCAGGCCAATGCTCTATCCACTGAGCCAAACCGACCAGGGCTAATATAATATTTCTTGATGTTGTCACATAATTTACCTTAGAAATCTTGCCAACACATTAAGATCTACCGCTTTCTGTAAGACCTGGTTCCAACATAGGGAGCTTGGCTTTTGTATAATCATGCGCCACATAACATTTCGGTCAACAATGGACCACATGTATGATGGCAGTCTCATAAGATTTTAACAGAGCTGAAAAAATCCTATATTTAGTGATGTTGTAGCCACTACAACTTTGTAGTACAAAGCATTACGTGTTTATGATACTGCTGGTGTAAATAAACAAATGTACCGCACTGCTAGTCATATGAAAGTACAGCACATACAATGATATACAATGATAATAACAATAAATGACTGGTGTATGTATTTACTATATATACTTTTATTGCTATTTTAGAGTGTACTCAACTTAGGAAAGTTTGCTGTAAAATAGTGTGCTGTGCTTCACCAGCAGCATCTCATGCTTACCACGTCTCCTGATTGCATCATTCTCTTGTGCTTGATTTAATCTCATGTTGTTTTAGAGATTTTGTGTAGCCTACCTGTTGAGTGTTTGTGATGTCTACAGTAGTGCACAGTAATGTCACTACTTACACTACCTCACTGGCTCACCCAGAGCAACTTCCAGTCCTGCAAGCTCCACTCATGGTCAGTGCCCTATACAGCTGTACTATTTTTAATCTTTTACACTATATTTTTACTATACCTTTTCTATGCTTAGATATGTTTTGTGCACAAATACTTATCATTGTGATACAATTGCCTACAGCATTCAACACAATAACATGCTGTACAGGTTTGCAGTCAAGAGCAATGGGCTTATTATCATCTAGGATTGTGTAAATGCACTCGGTGATGTTCACACAACAGAATTGCCCAATGACACATTTCTTAGAATGTATCCTAGTTAAGCGCCTGTGGCTGTACTGGATTGCCCTGGAATGGAGCCAGATATTCTCCTCTCCCCTCCCTTTTTAGCTGGCAGGGTTTCTGACTTTCAGGGCAGGGGACAAACAGTGTCACACACCCAGCAGGAACACAAATATTTGCTGCCAAATCTCTAGTGCTCCCAAGACCCGTATTTTCATGCGGAACCTCCTCTCTCTTGCCTGGACTACAGCAGTGGATACCCCACTGCCCTCGACCCCATCCTCCACATTGCTGCCAGAATCAACTTGTAACTAAGAAAATGCAAGCACAATGTTCTCCTGCTCAAAATCCTTCAGTGGCTCCCATTGATTTGGTTCTTTTTGGAAAGTCAGGCCCCTTTTGAGAATTTCAGGAGAACAATGAACTCTCACCCAGGAAGAAAAGAAAAATGTACACAATGCCTGAAGCCCATCCCCACCCTCAGGATAACATATGAACTCAGCCTGCACTGGTTCTCACAACTGGCCCTGGCCTCCGCCAACTTCACCTCTTCACTATTTGCTTTTCCTATCTTCCTGCTTTGGCCATACTGAATTTGCAGTCTCCCACACACTTTCTGCTGCTTCCTGCTCATGTGCTTTGCTCATGCTATTCCTCTGCCTGGAATGCCCTCCCCAGTTTCAGCCACCTGACAGGTTCTTATTCTTTCCTGTACTCAGTGGAAGCATCATCTCTCCTGCCGTCTTCACAACCATGCCAGGCAGACATAGGCATTCACACTTTCCTCACTTCGTCCTAGAGCCTCCAGTCCAGTGCTTATTGCACTGTAACTGTCCGTTTCCCAAGACACTGTGAGTTCCTTGAAGGCAGGAACTGGGCTTTTCAAATTTATAGCCTTATATGCAGTATGGGACCATGTGGGGAGCCGATATAGAGTTAAACCTCGAACTGACCTGTTAGCAAAATCACAAACAAGTCTTCTTCCGAGTCTTAAACAACCCAATTCGAGAGGTGGCCGCTGATTTACTCGCGCTGTCGACTGTTGGCAATAAATTTGGGACTTGTTGGGCCCACATCCCCAGGGGTCTGCCCACCAGGGAAAGCACCAAAGCTTATACCCTTGGAGACCCACCGACACAGGGCAGTCCCAGGGAAGGCAAGCAGCAGGGCTGGGAGGACATAACCTTTACTGGGTAGGATAATCTCCTTCAGTCACGTCCTTGTAGCTTATCAGTAGAGCAACAGAATAGTGATCTTGGAATAGCCCTTATAATGGAACACAGAGATTAACCTAGACAAGATTAAAATCAACAGAACTAGGATTTTTGGCAAAGGTCAGATAAGAAACTAACATTTATATACCTTAGGAAGTGATCACCCAGTATGGGACCTATTTTAATTAATTAGTATTTATTTGTACAATGAAGGACCAGCGAATGTGCCACCAACATGTCTTTCATAACCTTTCTCTGCAGGCATGAGAAAGGATATCACATCTACAGGATATCTCAGAATGGGGGACAGTGTTTCCTAAATCTCAATTATTCCAAATAGCACCTTCACAACTATTACCATATCCACTATCTACAGGTATGATTAATTTTCAAACTAATCACTATTTGAACTTCAATGCCTCATTATAAGCTATAATAATTATAAAATTACATGTTGTGCTAATTATATATTTTTTCCTCAGATGCAAATATTAAAAGACATTCATTCCAGCACACTGAAAGCGGCATTACCCACATTCCTCCGATAAGCATTTGAGATGCTGGTTACAAACATAGAATCCTGGGTCCCACCTTCAACTAACTCAGTCAAACTCTCCTGAGGGAGGGACCTGGGAGTTAGGTTTTTCAAATGCCCCCAGTGAGTCTTCTCTTTAGGGGAGTTTGGGAAACAATGAAGTGAAGTCAGTTCTCCACTGCTCGCCACAAACACCAGGTTCGGGGATCACAGGGAGGTGGCAGCAATTCAGACCAGCAAGGTTGCCAGAGCTAACAGCCACTCCCTTTTCCAAGAGACTCTCAGGCTTTCAAAACAGAGGTTCCACCAGCCCCTATGTGCTTGTAAGTAGCAAAGAACACAGTTCAGACTATGACAGGGGAATCGTGAGGGCCACGATTCACCTATGTATCTATGCATCCAATTGATCATAGAAAGCTTTCACAGGACCACAAGATAAAACCAAGGTTTCTACATGTAAAGCTGTACAGAAAACTTCACTTTAACTAAAATCAAAGTCAGAATCTAAGGCAAAATACAAAAGAGCTCTAAAAGAAAGTGTTTCAGAAGCAACCAATGAGTGCATAAATAAATGGAACAACAAACTGATGTTTCTCTCTGTCTCTCACTCTTTTTTTTTTTGTCTCAATAAGTAAAAAAAATAAATTAAAAAACTATTCAAAAGTATGGGCTGGCTTTAGCTCAGTGGTTCCTTCGCATACAAATGTGATAGATAGATAAATAGATAGATAGATAGATAGATAGATAGATGATAGATAGATAGATAGAAGAAAGTGTTTCAGCTCAGTTAGTTAGAGCATCTTCCCGATATGCCAAGGTTGTGGGTTTGATCCCTGGTCAGAGCACATATGACAGTCAACCAATGAGTGGGGAAACAATCGACATTTTTCTCTCTTTCTTCCTCTCTCTAAAAAATCAATTAAAAGATCTTGTAAAAGATTAAATAAAATTAAAAAGTGAGTCCCTCAGTCACATTAGCCACATTTCAAGTGTTCAACTGTCACATGCGGCTGGAAGCTACCATAATAGCACAAATGAAAAACATTTCCCCATCACAGAAAGGAATGTCTCCTGGACAGTCCTGGTCTAGAGGGCCTCTGGAACAGCAAATCGCCCCCATGGAATCCGTTCTGCTTGGGTTGCAGGCTGAGAAGAAGGGCTTTCATGGGGGCAAAGGTTCACATGATCTTTGCTAATAGTGGGTGAGGAGGGGAGAGCTGATGATCACCACCCTCAGAAATAAAACTCCCAACAAGGATTTCTACTAACTTCCTGTAAGAGACTCAGAAAATATAGAAAAGAGGTCCCAAACATAAAGAATTTCTAAAATTTATTCTTTTAATCTTCTGTCCTCTGGTAGTGATCAGTGGTCAATCTTTAGAAGGACAAGGACCTCTGAGTTCAACTTTAGTTACAGCAAAGAAATGAAGGGGAAAGGGAGGGAATGGCCAGCAGTTATTTAAGGGGAATACAGGTTGAGCCCTAGAGGCCCCCAGTCCCAGCAGAAAGGAAAGCTCAGGTGACAACTGGGCATGAGAGGGGACCATCTGGCTGGATGAGAGAGAAGTCCATGTGCAGCCCAGCACACACACTTGTGCA